TTTCCAAAAAAATCCCAAACACATGTTTCGCTAACACAGTAGCAGTGTCAGGTGATATACTGGGAATTATGTGGAAATCTTATCGTTTGTGATGTTTTTACATTTAACTATAATCGTCTCTCGAATGCTTTATGAAACCAGCCCTCATTCTATCAAGATGCTTTTACTGTTTTTTCACTCTTCAGCTTGGTGATGGAGACGCTATCCACACTACATTTCTCGAACCGAACCAGGCAAACCAGGTTAACCTCATCATGACCTCACGGTAACTTCATTATGACTTCACGGTTTACTTGTGACTTGTGGAGCTTGACGGATGTCTGTTTATGCACCTCAGCGAAAAACTGTTTATTGTCTAAGGCAAAGTTTACATAACAATAATAATAGACAGTTTCTCGTCCTTGGTACATAAATATAAATTTTCCTGTTGAGGATGTTTGGAGCTCTTATTGGGAATGCATTATTCATTTTCGATGTCAATTGCGGTTGGAAAGCTGTTGCAGGATGTAGAATCTGTGTCATCTCCTCGACTATTCAGTATTCATGCTTGTATCAATGAATTATCAGGGCTATGTGGAGATATCAGGAATATTATTATTCTCCAGTGGTAATTTCCAAGCGGAAACTATTTCAAGATTGCATATCTCTAGGGATATTGTGCAGGTTTCCGAATCATGATTAAAATTTGTTCAGTTATTAAGGGACATAATGTGTGTTCCTACAGTTATGAAAAAAAATGTGAAGACAAAGTTATTGCCAATGTAAATGATTCATATAGAACTAACAGAAATAGATGTTTCTATAATAAGGATGAATGTTGAAATATTTGACGATCATTAAGCCGATCTTGAGATATGCTTCGGAATACTTCAGTGATGTTAGTGTGTCCTCGATGATAAAACATTGAGGTTGTTTTGAAAAATTATAGAAAAAAATAATAAATAATGAAACCGTCAGCTGAAATCTAACATTTCTACCGTGAACAATGGTATTTTCATATGTGGCAGGAAGAGGGACGAATCAATATTGAGATGATATTAACATTATTGTATAGAATTGAAAAAATTATCGACATAAAATTTGAGGTTTCCAACAGGAATAACACCTGCGTTGCAGGCATGTTTATCATTCTTTTGAAGTAATCAAATATCTGTCAGTCTGATTTTGTGATTTGATTTCATAAAATTGCGAGTTTAGTGCTGGTTGTTAAGTAATTTACGTAACTCTGGAATTCATTGCCTGTGGAAGTATTCCCAACAACATATAATCTCCAAAAGTTCAAGAATAATTCCAATACCTACCTCCTATCCCTATCCTCCCTAGGAACGCACGATGTGTTTTGAACATTATAGGGATTCTCTTTCGTGCGCTCCAAGCGATAAAAAAAAACGCGAAGTCGAATGGAAGATAAAAGGACTTGTAGTTATTTCTCTGAGACGGTGTTATTGGCTTATTTTTGGATACTATAGCACATCAGAAGCCAACAATAATATATTTATGTATGATGATACGATATGATGATATTAAATTTATCCGAAGAAAAAGTACTCACCCTTTTCCCGTGGAGAAAAGTATGACACAGAGAAGTGTCAATTTTTATGTTCAGAACGGGAGCAAATTCGTTCCTGAAACGTCCAAAGCTATGTGAAAATTCGATATTCCTCCAATATATCTATATTTCGTCTCTTTAAACTTCATTACAAACAGAGTGTAACTGACAAACTATTGAATTTTTCTTTTGAGCATTCTAATAGAAAAATTTGTTGAACGCAGTGACATTTTGGGGCAAATCATCTGATTTGTCCTACTACATTTATATTGAAACTATACCCATATTTTCATCTTGTAGAAACGAGGAGAGAAAATCCAAAATGAACAAGTGAAATGAACGTAACACCTCCTCGATTTACCTACAGACAGTATGTCGAAGACTGGAACCTTTGACACGATGATACACTACACACTGTTTTACCAGTGAAAAAAAAACCGATTTTATACACCTCGACATGTATTTCGCTAACTAATTCAGCACCTTCAGAAGAAGATTAGTGAAACACGTGTCGAGGTGTGAAAAATCGGTTTGATTAGTGGTAAAACAGTGTGTATTGTACTACTGACAGTATTCAGAACGAATCTATCTGGTACATTTATTTGTCGAAGTTCATATTCAGTGGAAAGTTCATCATTAAGAAATCAAAAACTTTCAATACCATTGAATGAAAAAAGAATCGGAAATTGATACATTGAGAAAGTGTAATTCTTCATACATTGAGAGTGCTTTGATGGGTGAAAATTAGTGTAGCTTCAACATTTCATTTTCTCGATAAGAGTATTTCGAAAATTGTTTATATGGATGTAATTTTCATTGACAGAGCTCAGAGAAATAAATGTGTCGAATAGATTTTTACATTTTGGAAAATTATTCGGTGAAAAATTATTCGATTATCATCTTGAAATAACTAGAGTCATTAATTATTTAGGTTTCTCCAATTTTTAATAACCGGTATTCGATATTTTTCTCAGTCTAAGCTTATCAATGTTTTGATCTCCACAGGCAAACCGAATACATGAATTCCCTTGTAGTATAGTGAATAAAGGAAATCATTCCAGATATAAATCGCTCCTTCCACCACACAATGAATTTTTGTGCATTGGAAAATAACAAGATTGTTAAATTGTTCGGCTAGATTCATGCTAGATTTTCTCTGAAGGAGCTCAACTCAACACAATCAACACTCGATAATTGAATTATGATCGCAAAATGTTTCACAAAAACTCGGCTTTCTAATCAGTGAAAAAAGCTAGCTTGTCTCACCTTAACAGCTCCTAAATATCTACAAAGCAGAGGTCCAGCTCATATTTGGATGTCATATATAATTAGATGATTAACAATAAATTTCAATAGAGTAAAATAGATAAGTAATAGCAGATGATGGCCCCTTCCCTGAAATCTAGTCAAGATTGAATATGAATGTTCCGTCGCAGATATTTTTTGACATCTAGCTCGATTGATTCAATTTTCCCAACGTCAGCAATAAATAGCGGGACTATCAGTTCCGCTAAGATACCCCCGCTGATATTCCAAAGACGTTGCGAAAGCACTTTAGAACCTCTCGATTATACGAGGATGCACTTTCCATCTAGTTTAATTAGAAACCGTCAAAAGCTCCGTATTAAATTATCCCGTTTCCAATATATTCCCTGTTTGTGTCCCCGTTTGTTCCGTTGAATGCTCTAAACCAGTTTAGGAAATCAATTAGTACCATTGCGATCTTTTATTCTCGCCGTAATCCAAACTGCATGTCACGATTACCAATCACACTTTTTAGAATGAGTAGGTAGACCTTCAAGCTTTTCTCGTATCTCAGCCTGCTCATGAGAAAAGAACAAAAATGTGTTCATCCTTCTTCGACCACTTCGAGACAAATACAAGAGAATGCTGAATTAGTTTCAATAGTTTTGCCAAAATGTGATGACCTATCAGAACTCATGCGAAATAGCCAAAATTCTCGAAGTGGAATGACATGTTGAACGATCACAAAAATACTCAAAGTCGTTTCCACAAATGTTCATTTCATGAATATTTATGGAAATGGCTTTCAGCATCATTGTTTTTATTTAGGATCCACACAGTTAGCTATGTTCGAGAGTACAATATGTCCTCAGATCGTTGGATTGTACGAAGTCTCATTCATGGAACTTCTTCAAATCATCGTTCACTTTAAGGATATGTTGAGAAACGTTATCAAGGAATCAACAACGAAGGACTCCAATTAACTAAAAAATTCGACATATATCATATTCCAGACGTGGCAATGACACCTAAGTGCCAAAGATCTCTATGAAGATCTTACAAGGCAAAACTGAAGAAAATTGTGCTTGTCCCGAGTGACGTTCAAACTGGCAGGACTTGAACTTCCGCCACACTGGCTTTTTCATACCACAAAATTAGAATTTCAGAGACTTTAGTTATCTTTCAGTAAGTCATGACCCACGATAACATCAGCACAAAGCTCATCTGAGAAGGGGAGAGAATTCCATAGTGATTGTGGCGAGGCAGAAGTGACATGACTGAGGGATGCAAGATTCCACAGTTTGTCTACAGGGTTTTTTGTTGTAGCTTCATCAGACGAACAATTTTCCTGTCGATGAAGCTGACAGACCTGCCGGTGTCTATGAGCGCGTCGACATAGATGGTATAATCACGTCCTATTGAAAGGAGTTTCTAAATCTTGCTGAATTTCCGAAGTTTCAAACCATATTTACAGGCATCCTGTCAAATTCATTCAAGTTCAGATTTTCATTTTCACAATTTTTTGTCCGAATGGAAACGGTGCGTCATATTTCCGACTTTCAATGGTGAATTCATGAACGACACAAAGTCCTAACTGAAGATAATCTTGTGATAATAGTTTATTTACTCACTTTTGGTATATACATAAAATAAAACGATTTTCAAATAATCCTCACACATTGCAGCAGTCAGTCCATGTCGAGAGCACAGTTCACTCACTCAACTAATGATAGCTATGGAAGATCCATCAATTAAAAAAAGAAGATACAATTTCATTGCGGAAGTTTTCGGAGGCATTACATTGAGACGCACCAAATGTTTGAATTGCCAACGTGTAACGCAATGCAAAGAACCATTCTTTGACATCCAGGTGCCAGTTCCCATAAAAAACCATGTTCAAAAACTGACTGACGTCCATGACATCTTCCGCGAGGCTTGCATAACGACGGAGGATTTATGTGATAACAATAAATATCTATGCAAGAACTGTTCGAGCTATACCGACGCCAGCAGAGATGTATCATTCGAAGAGCTACCGAAATTGTTGATTATACATTTAAAATGGTTCTCAACGACGACGTCCGGCGTCCATGAAGTGCACACCTACCTTCCTACTCCTCTAGATTTGCACTGTTTCTGTGTAAAATGCTGAAAGGTTAATAAAAACGAGCCGTTGCCACACCGTCACAAACTGTGCTGCGTCATCATGCACTTGGGCTGCACTATGGCTTCAGGCCACTACATTTCCTATGTGGAAGTCAAAAGTCAACGATCCGTGCGTCGACTACATAAACTGCCCTTGCAAGAGCTTCGATTGTTGCGGACTGCACATAAACAGAAACTGCTGATGATCTCTAAAAAAAAAATCTTGGGGCAGCCAGAAGATTTACTCTCCTCCTCATCCTCATCATCCTCCTCCTCGTCCTCCTCCGAAGGCGAAGACATGTGGCTTGAGTTCAACGATGAAAACATCAGGCCCATCTCCATAAAGGAGTTGGTTGATGATTCGAGCTTCAAGCCAAACTCCTCGTCGATGCCCTATCTTTTCTTCCACGCCAGATTATGATGTTTTATTTATAATATAATATTCAATTAATTTCAATAATTACATTTGAAATTGATACTGTTGAATGTTTGTCTGATTCGCTAATATTGGTTACGTGATCACAAATACGTGAATATCATAGGTTAAAATTACATGAAAGCGAATAGAATAAATAATATTTTTTGTTGTGTTCTGGTTCCCACGAAAATGGATATCCTGTAATGTTCAGAGAACATCGTGAGAACCAAGGAAAATAAGGTAGGTATACTTATTTAAATTTTGGAGGTTATATGCCTAGGGGAACACATTCCTTGGCAATGTGTTCCAGAGCCACGCTCTATGATGTATTATGATATAAAAATAAACTTACCTATAATATTGATACCAGCCTAATGAACTACTAATGTTCTTAATTTATAATAATACTATTTAAAATTTTAACAAAAGCTTGAATATGTGGAAAACATGCATCACACTCGTGACAAACATGTCAAGATCAAGATGTTCAAGAAGAAAAACACATTTTTGAAAGTCGATCTAGTTCAACTTCCTAATAAGAATCGAAACGCATTTTGAAATTTTTTAAGAAATTGTCAAGGTTGGTAGAGCAAATGATTGAATTTTCATCAGTTTTACCAACCTTGGAAATTGTCCATTGTTCACGCCATCTATCATCGAATATGAGAACCCCACGTTCCGAACTCGCATTCAATTGTTCATATCGAGAGCTAGTGAGACGAAACAATTGAAGAGTGGGCACACCAGTGAATTATAAACATCTCAGCGTCAACTTTATATTCATTCACCATGTATGGAACAGTCGCACCCCTTGGCCCCTAGGCTTGATGGAGATTCTGCGGAAATGACTGTCCAGTGGCTTGAGAGTAATAACACTACTAGTGAATAAGTAACAGTCTCAGATCTGCATACATTCGCAAAGTGAGTTTCGTTCGAATATCGTTGACAAATAGCGTTCTTGGTAAGACATGTGATCCTTTGATGGACACTTCCACCGCAAAAGCACCTTCTTGTTGACTGTGACGACAAGGATGAAGGATGCGTTCCGTGTTGTTTGTGGAGAAGTCGCATCTGGATTCGCTGCCATCGGCACATCCTTCGATTAACGTTCAGGAACCCAGAATTGGATCTCTGGGAGGGGGGAGGGGGGAGGGACATCAACTTTCTTTATTTCAAAACACATCTTCATTCATGATTATTGATAACTTCAATAATATTATGTATTACAAAATGAAGGGGTCTTGGATTTTGATTTCCAAACAATCATTGAAATGTTTGTGTCATATTTTGATTTCAGCTCGGCTTTGATAATAATTTTCAGAATGTCAGGTGGAAATATCAGTAAATGAAGGTATGCATGTACAGAGTAATTTTGTACTAGAATCTGAATAATAATAAAAAATACCACATTTCTGCCCATTTGACCAATATTAAACGAGATAGCTATTGAGTGGAATATAAACCATCATATAGCAAATGGGCTGATCTAGTGGCATAACCATGAGTATCTGAGTTGGTACATGATACAGCGCTCCTCTTATGTATTTCAATTAGACTCTGATAAACATATAAAGATGGCAATGGCATAGCACCAAGTTGTTGAAAATGAATAAAATAATATAGAACATTACTCAATTGCAGGTATAGTACTGATGATGACTGAGTTGCCACTGCGCGATTTGATTACAAATATTCATTTATACGAAATCCATTTTTTCGTCTCATTGATCAGTTGCGTTTATACATCTTTTACAAATATTCACCTCTTCTTCACTGACACCCTTATGTATTTTATGCAAAAATATTGAATTTGAATTGCCAATAATCATTTTTATAGAGTTGTAGTAATAGTCGGTACGAACAGTAATGTTATGTCATTCATGGAATTCAGAAACTATTTAGATTTCTGCAGCCATAATGATTGTTGGAAGAAAAACGTATCATGATTTGCTGACTAATTCCACTTGAAAGAGTCGCTCAACTCTCAAAAAAGTTTCCTTAACGAACCTCTCAGCTTCCTGACCGGATGAATCACTTCTGGACGAAATGCAGCTAGACCGAATTCCATTTTCCTTAATCCTCATCTCGTTGTATCAGATTCGCTCGAAAAAGGAATACGCTTTTCTGTAGGAGATGTGTTCAAGATCAATTAAATATATAAAAAAGGCGATTTCCAGATTCTCAATGGATTATTCCTTTGGCTGTGGATTAACAATGTGTACGTTCAGTAGACATATATAGAGTCTTTTCTTTTTACTTATAATATCACATGAGCTTGGAGACTATTCCAGGAATTATTCTGGTTGTCATGATCCATCCAATAAAAAAATCGAATAGTTTCAAATGGATTGCATATCACTAAATGATAACTCGATTCCGATATGGATTTCTATGAATAAGGATTAGTTGAACAAATTCCAGTCCAAATGTTCTCTGTCGTACATATTGTAGAAGTTGGAATCGATGAAAAGATGAATCTTCATTCCATAATAATGAGGAGTAAAATGTCATCCAATTTCGAAAATTTGCAGCAGATGGTTATTCTGACTAGCACAATAGTGAAAATAAGACATCCCCAATATGTCACTTGAACTAATGAATATTTCAGTTATATTTGAATAACTCCTGGATTGTTTCTGATGAGTAGATTGATGTAGGAGATCGAAGGAGAACACTTTTTATACCTACAAATGGGTGAGTTAGTATTTGAATCCAGGATAATTTCTGGAACGGCCGAAACCAAAAAAATATTGGTCGGACCAGCTTAGAGTTGGGTGATTCATTCTACTAGTTTATGAATCTTTGAGAAACATGCGCCTATAAAAACCGTCAGAATTACGAAAAAAAAAAAAAGCACCGTGGATAACAGATAACATGAAACTTATGTTGAAACTGAGAGACAAGGCTCTCTCAAGATTTAGAAGAACTAAGAGCCAGCATCACTGGGATTATTATAAAGAAATTAGAAATCTTACGAACCGAACGGTGAATCTCGAAAAAAAAGCATACCTCAATTTTCGTTTAACAAGAAGCAAACAAGTATGGAAAGAACTAGCTGATCTGAACGTATATAATAACAAAAAAACAAAGAAATCAATTCCGGAACACCTTATGCATGTAGAAGATATCAATAACTTTTTTGGAAGCATTTCAAATAATAACTTCGTACCTGACAATGAAATCATCGATTTTTTTTCTGGTAGTACACTGAACGATAACAAGTTTTCATATCATGAAACGAATGATGCTCAAATTTACATTACATTACTTGACATCAAATCGAATGCTGTGGGACCTGACAAGATAAGTATACAAATGTTATTACATTGTTGCCCCATCATCCTAACGCACATATCACATCTTTTCAATTATTGTATACAAAAAAATGTTTATCCAACGAGTTGGAAACAATCTCATGTCCTACCACTGGCTAAGATCACCAACCCAGAGAATTTGAGTGACCTTCGTCCAATTAGTATTTTGTGTGCCATTTCGAAGGCTTTCGAAAAAATATTGAATTTGCAAATGCGGAATTACTTAAATGACTTCGATATATTGCCATCCTGTCAATCAGGATTTAGAGCTGACCATAGTTGTACAACGGCCCTATTGAAAGTTGTAGATGATTTGCATATTTCTGTTGATAATAACAAACTCTGTCTTCTAGTACTGCTTGACTACTCGAAAGCATTCGACCGAATAAATCACAAGCTACTTATAGCGATTCTAAGCTACCTAGGGTTTACATCGGATGCTGTATCACTCCTTCAAAGTTATCTTCACAACCGATCTTATAGTGTCATACATAATGATAAAAAGTCTAACTCACTAATAGTAAAAAATGGTGTTCCTCAGGGATCAATATTGGGTCCCCTTCTATTCGTCATTTATACCTCCCAATTTTCAAAGTCCCTACGCTACTCATCCATGCATTGTTACGCAGACGACACCCAATTATACTTAGAATTCGAAGAACACTCTCTCAATCGTGCACTCGAACAAATCAATCAGGATTTGAACTCCCTAATTACGATTTCTAATAAATACTGTCTAACTGTTAATGCTTCAAAATCTTATGTCATGTTATTTGGAAGAAAAACCTCGAGAAATCGTTGCAAGAACTTAGTTAATGTAGCCGTTGATGGGGTACAATTACCCACTACAGAGGTAACAAAAAATTTAGGATTATACCTTGACAGTGCACTCAGATTCAGGACACACATTTCTCATGTCTTGAAGCGAGGGTATATGAATCTTAAAATGGTTTATTCAAGTAGAAATATACTAAACAAGAAAAGTAAAGTCATGCTATGTGATGCATTAGTGCTATCACATGCTAACTACGCAGATGTAGTATATGGTCCGGGACTACTGAAATCAGACAAAAAGCGGCTACAAAAACTTCAAAATTCATGCATCCGACTTATCACAGGCACTAGAAGACGGGAACATGTGTCACAGCATTTAAAGAATCTTGGTTGGCTCACTATGGAGGCTAGGTGCATACTCCATTCCGCTGCGATTTTTCACAAGATCATTACTACTGGAAAACCCCCTTACCTATTCAGGAAGTTATCTTTCAGAACCGATGTACACAATCTCAACTTAAGATTTAGGAATAATCTGACAGCGCCTAAATACAGAACTTCTTTTTTCCGTGGCTCCTACTCATATCAGATCGTTCGCTTATATAACCGGTTACCGATTGAATTCAAATCCCTACCACTCAAAACGTTCAAGAAGAAACTAAAACAATATTTAATCGAAAACAACTGCACGTATTTTGGAATTTGAATCAAAGCGAACTTGAATTGGCACACGCTTATCTCAAGATTAGTAAAATGTGAATTTCCTGCAACCTCTATATTATACTTACTTATAGTAGATATCATTAATTTATTAATTGGAGCATTACTTTTTTCTATTTTTTTTATTTCCATTAAACATCATGTATGTTCAAAGTTAGGTTTAAACATGAATATATTTTCAAGGTTGGATGGAAG